AGGTATGAGGTTTCAAATCCGAAAACAATTACCAAAACTACAAGTAGATCATGAGAGTGTCCTAGTGACTTAATCTTTAACACCTTGTTTGGATAAAAAATAGTAAAGGGAAGGGAAGAGAAGGGAGGGGAACGGGGGGAAAATAAAAGGAATTGGAGGGGGAGGAAAAGAAAGGAGGGGGAGGAAAAGAAAGGAAAGGGAAGAAAATGGAAGGAAATGATTTGTGTTAATTTTGTTTGGATAAATAAAAATGAAGAAGGGGAAGGAAAGGGAAGGATTGTATTATTTTATATTTGGATAATTAAGATAAAAAGAAAAAAAGGAAGGAAATGATTTAAATTAATTTTAAATTTACAAATTTACCCCTTTAAGCTTGTAATAGAGTTGCCTATACATTTTTGCTTGCTGCCATTTGTTCAATTCATTAAATCACTCCATTATCCACCGAAAGCAAGCACAAGAGAAACCCAGTGCCTTACCATATATATATATATATATATTTTGGATCTTAATGTGATTTTGATTAAAAAATTGATAAATACAAATTAAAAGAAAAAATTATTAATTAAAAAAAACATAAAATTAAAAATTTAACAAAAAATATTAAATGAAACAATTAATAAAAAATGATTCTAAAAATAAAAAACAAATAATTTTATTACAATATAGTTTAAAAATATACGGAAGGAAATACTGTTCTTTCTAAATGGGTCTCTCGAATGCAAATCGCAATAGACCTTGCGCACGGCCTCGATTACATCCACCATTGCTCTAGTCTAGAGACGGGCTTTACCCACAACCATATCAAGAGCACAAGCATCATAATCGCAGAGGATTCTTTCAGTGCCAAAATTTGTCATTTTGGCACGACGGAGCTCTATGGGGAAGTGACGAAAACCAGCAAAACCAATTCCAATGCAAAACCCCTTGTGAGGACGGGCAACAAAGTGATGAGGATTGAAGGAACGAGATGGTATATGGCACCAGAGCTTTAGTTCAACGGCATGGTGATGCAGAAGTGCGACGTGTACGCGTTCGGCGTGGTGTTGTTGGAGTTGTTGAGTGAACAGGAATCCTTGAGATACGTGGTTGATGAAGAGAGCGGTGGGTATAGCAGGCAGAGTGTTATAGACTCGGCGAAGAAGGCAGTGGCGTATGGAGTTGGAGGGGTGAGGAAGTGGGTGGACAAGAGGCTGAAAGACTTGTATCTGTTGGAAGTGGCGGAGAAGATGGTGGAGTTGGCATTGGAGTGTGTGGAGGAGGACCTCGCAAAGAGGCTGGACATGGGGCTGGTGGCCGGGCGGATCTCAAAGCTGTATTTGGAGTCCAAGACTTGGGCAGAGAAGGTTATGATAATAAATAAATTAAGGTTAATTTTGTAATTATCTCTAATTTAATCTAAACAGCCCCTGAAATCCTTCCCAAACCTCCCAAATTGGGAGGATTGCAAATATGTAGAGTTGAGAGTTGTGGAAGGAAGTCCGAATCCACTAATCTCCCTCTCCTTTTGTCTTTTTGAAAACCCAAACAAGAAGAAGAAAACAACCTCCCCTCACTCCCCCTCCCTTCTCATCCATCCCCATCCCTTCTCCTCCCTCACCATCTCACACCTCCAATCCAAACAGGGGCTAAAAAAAAATAACTTTGAGTAAACCATAATATATTTTAAAAAAAAAAGATTTTCGTGCGGGTAGGTAATAGATGATAAACTGGAATATTAAAAAAAATTATAATTGACTTAAACATTACCTCCACTAATAAATAAATATTATTTTTTAATACCACTTAAATTTAAGATTGCATTAGCAGTTGTTTTTTTATAATATTTTTATATAGGCCAAAGCCCCTATTTGCACCCTCCATTTATTTGTTTTCCGTGGTCAACACCTTCTAAAATTTTTCCTCCTTATTAACACCCTCCATTTTTCAAAACCCGTAAAAAACCCAATATTTTAACGGGCCGTCACGGCACCGTTAAAAAATATGTTACGTGGCACCCAAAAATTGACGTGGCACTACATAACGTTAATAATCCAACGTGGACGCCACGTATACAATAAAAATAATAAAAAATTATAATATTACCAAACAATTACATAAATGGCATTTTTTTTTTCTTTCTCCCCTCATCCTCGGCATCATCTTCACCATCCTCGCGGGGAACCCAGTTTCTGGGTTCCACGCGAGGAAACTGGGTTCCTGCGCGGAACCCAGTTCTGGGCTCCTGCGCGAGGAACCCAGTTCCAACTTTTTTTTTTTTGATTTTTTTATTTTAAATGTATTTATCTTAGCTTCGATTTTATGCAAAGCAATTTTGAATAATTTTTTTGTTGGAAATGTGAGTTTTTTTGCTCGGAGATTGTTTCTGAGGGGGATGAGGACGAGGATGGTGAAGATGATGAAGATGATGCTAGTGAAGATGATGCTGAGAAAGAAGAAAATGAAGAAATTAAAATTAGTGATAATTTGATTATAACACATATAAAAAAAGTCCAACATTGTATTAATAAATGTGACATAAAGTTCTGGATTTCTGGTTCCATGAGAAACCCAGGAGGATGAAGAGGAAGATGGTAAAGATGATGCGGGAAAGAAGAAAATGAAAAAATTAAAATTAATTATGGATTAATTACGCCATATCATCAAAAAAAAGTCCACGTTGGATTATGTTACTGTTTAATGCCACGTATTATCATTTTTAACGGTTATTAACGGTGCCGTGACAGCCCGTTAAAATATTGGGTTTTTTACGGGTTTTGAAAAATGGAGGGTGTTAATAGGGAGGAAAAATTTTAGAAGGTGTTGACCACGGAAAACAAATAAATGGAGGGTGCAAATAGGGGCTTTGGCCTTTTTGATATTAGGTAG